GGAGAGCTTACCCGAAAAAGACCAGTCCACAGAGGGCGGTCACATGGTCCCCACCGATAACAAAGGTGCATGCCTTCCATTTCTGTAAATAAATCCTCATGAGAATCTCAAATCCTCTGCAAAACAGATAAAATACCTATTTTTTTGTTTCCCTTTATTGTCTTACAGACCCGATTGAAACATGCATGCCATTTAGGGGATTGCGTTTGGGCACCAACGTTCGCACAGTTATTGCTAGACCTGTGTTTACATGGCTTGAATTCCGAGAAGCACCCAAACTTAAAGATCTGACCATGCACATAATTTGGATGGATAAAAAGGTTTGTTACGATCCAATTACAAAATGACAGAGTCCTTTCATTAATGACTTTCGACAAAATGCGTTGTACAGTATTACTAGCTCAAGTGTTGTTCTTATAGGAACGATTGATTGAGTCAATGGTTGGTGAAAGAGACATCACCGAGATATCTCGCAGAATAAAGATCGGGAAGCTTTATCAGTTTAATTCAGTTCTGGCGATACCAGCGAGGGAAAATCCGAGGATTGTTCCAGGAGAGTTAAGGTTGCACATAATCCCGAACAAAATATTTCAAGGATTGAAGAAGACCCAGAAGACCCGCGCTTCCCTATTGGCTGGGATATTGGGATAGTCTTTTCGATAGTGCCTCTTCAAACAGACACCATTGAGTACCATACAGGTACATTTGACTATCTCTGTTTACCATACTAAGATTAATCTAAACTTTAAAATGACAAACATTTTTGTTCACAACAGACAAGTTCCCACTACAGTTCGTGGTATTCTCAAAGAATTTCGCATGGTTGTACAGGATGTGAGGTACATTTTCCAAAATAATGTGTTCATTTCTGAATTCTATGGATCCACTAACTTAATATTTGTCCACGTAAACAGCGGCGCCAAGGCAATGGTTGATTATCAAGGATATGACATCTTAAGGTTCTTAGAAAATGCACCTGCGGCTGAAGCTCACTTGCCTCTCATAGTTACAATCAAATATGTCATTCGAGTGCCACCTCTGCCCAACCAGAAATACAAGTACCATTTCAAATCAACTCCTGCCAGTTCTCTGAAGATGGAATCCTACACACACTCGGTCAAGGAAATTATGCACATGTACACTTCTCTATTCACATATGATGCTCATATCTCAATTAATTTGTATTGCCAATCAATTGAAACAAAACTAATGGTTTGTTGTATTTTTCCTGCAATCCAGTTTCCTTCATAGTCGCAAACAGGTTTACTACATGGATGCCGACACCGGTGTGAAAACAGGCTACCTTCGACCAGGAATTGAGAAGAAATCACTCGCTGACATCAAAGCTGTGCTTGGATCTGATGAGAGCCACCACAAGGTACGTTGGGAACTAAATATATCTACCTTGCCAATAGCTTGCACAGAAATTTTACATACGCACATATATTAAAACATAAATTGCCATTTGTGTTAGATACTTTACCGTGCCAAGTTTTCCATATCACAATTGAAGTTTCGAAGTAGCATTTGCCGAACAACTGAGCAATGGCCGAAGTAATTTTTTGTTTCGATGTGAACAGTTCTTATGCTTATTAATATATCAACAAATAAGCTAACCAGAACTCTCATTTATATCTATAACTAGCTTGCACTATCAGCTGGAAGTCAAGTGTGAACATGGAGATGATGATATTGATGTCATACTGGACCATGAGGCCGCTCTCTCGATAATTGGAATGTCCCCCAGCAAGTACAAAAAACTCGAAACAGAATCTGCCAAAGCATTGCTGATCAGAAAGTGTAGCAGAATGTTTGCAGGGGAGCTATACATTGGTTGCTCAGATTTAGAAAACAGAACTTCACCGGTCAAACCGCACATAAGAGTTGCAACACTTTGGCATACCTCAAGAATGGACAGGTGATCGTCTACATTGATGAGGGAAAAACTTGCTGGTGCACTTGATATACCCCTAATATCCTCATTCTAGAACTAAGTTCCTGTTCTCCAACTTCCATGGAGACAAAACAGTGTGCACGTTTGCTTATTCAGCTTGCAAAGACTTTTGGATTTGAACAAGATGATTTTGTACTGCCTTTGGCTTCTTTGCTTGGCAAACTAAATCTCCAGTACGTTTTATGTGCGCTGAACTACAGTGCATCATCTAGCTATCTTATTGTTCTTGGTTTATCAACAATGATGATTGGTGTAGGTTGGGAAACCACACGGTTTAACATCCCCATTTACACTGACAACTTAAATCAACATACCTCGCGGCAGAGCACGGGTTAATTCCTAGTATTATTCATGGATGTCTTCGTTGTTGAACAGTAGCACGTCTCAATGGGTGCATTCACTTTGAAGTTTATCATGAATTAAGTCTTTAATATTACACATTGTCAAAAAGTCTTTAATATTACACAAACATCCTTTCAATTCATTGATTCAATCTAGTAGGGTAGACTGGCTACTATCTGTGTTGCTTTTACCCAATTATCATGACTCATATAAGTATTGGATCGCATTATAATAGACTCACATACACTTCTAATAATTTTGTGTTACGTTGGGTTTGAATTATATCTTTTTTTAGTTTCTTTTTTTTTTACAATTTAGTCATTTCATGTGAGTTAGACCCAAATAGGTCTAATTAGGTCTACATGATTCATGATTGTATATTACACATAAAAATAATACCAATCATTTCATTAACTACGTTCAACCCAATAATACACCTTTATTTTAGTTGTTTCCACCTTTCTACTTGTTTCATAACAAAATAATATACAAGAATTGCATTATAATCGTGCACCCATTTTATTTTGGACTTCCGATATTAAGAGTCAAATTTTAGACCAAAACTTAAAAATTGGATATGGATGTGTGATCCTAAAATAAAATTATTCAAACTTGATTTGGTCTATAATAAATTAGATTTGGCAAATATCTGAGTATTGGATCCTTTTTGTCATCCCTACACTTAACATGGCCTGTCTATGATCAAAATTATTGAAATTAACATTTTCCATATTACTAATCACGTTCATGATAAGGTGGTAATTACATGAAGTAGTAGATTGTTATGCTTCAAAAAATCACGGCAAGCCATGTGGATCCCCTGTCTCTGGAAGAGGACACTATTCTTTGGACCGCTTCCTCGAATGGTCAGTTCTCAACCTCATCGGCCTACAGTCTGGCGTTGCCTCCGAGGAATGATCCAAATGAAAAGGTGCGAAGAGCCATTTGGAAGCTCCGGTTGCAGAAAGAGTCAGGTGTTTCGCGTGGCTGGTGTCTTTAGGGCGCATTGCGACTAATGTTCTTCGCTACTCTCGTAAGTGTGTGGAGTCCCCCATGTGCCAAAGATGCGGGAACTACGAAGAGACCATCATCCACCTATTGCGTGACTGCTACCCTGCTCGTTTCTTTTGGCTGATGTGGATTCCGCAGGCGGAGCATCAGAGCTTCTTTCTCAACACCCAGGAAGACTGGTTCTGTGCCAACATTCTCAAGGAAGAACAGGTGTACAGGTTGTTTCCAGGGACTGCATAAGGCGCTGTCAGCACCTTCCCTTGCTTTCTCCATCCATCAAAGGGCTCTTTTATGGCATAAGGCTTGGCAGGCCCCCACGGTGAGCTTTGGCCGCCAGGGATCCAAGCCAGAGAGGGTGGAGACGCAGATCTACTGGAACTTCCCTCGAAATGGGTGGGTACTTAACGTTGATGGTGCTTCGGTGGGCAATCCAGGGCTAGCCGGAGCTGGGGGTATTATCCGCGATGAGCATGGTAAGTGGATCTGGGGCTTCGTTGCTAAAGTGGGTGAAGCCTCGGCGACCCTTGCCGAGCTCTAGGTTGTCTACTATGGCCTCCAACTCGCCAGGAAAGCTGGGTGTGCCTGTGTTATTGTTGAGTCGGACTTGCAGTTGGCTATCTCGTTAATTAAGAGTCATCATGATCCCGTTCATCCCTACGCCTCTTTGTTGGCTTCGATTCGGAGGAGTCTGGCGCAGGATTGGTTGGTCAGCATCGGGCATGTATATCGGGAGGGGAATAGAGCCGCGAACTGGCTCTCGAAGCACAGTCTCGTCTATCCCCTGGGTATGCATGAACTTGTTGATCCACCGGCGGCGTTAGCCCCCATTCTTATTGATGATTGTATGGGCATTTCTTTTGAGCGTCATGTTGTGACGCAACCCTCTTCTTTTCTGTAACCTCCCTTGTCTATGTGGCTTCGGCCTCCCTTCAATGCAAAAAAAAAAAAAAAAAACTAAAACACCCTATTTATTAGTTTCGCCTAGTGACTTTGATCTCATGGTTTGTTTTCCCAACCTTTCAATTCCTTTCCTTAGATCCATCTTTTAGTGTGACATTTATATTTTGTATGGTTTGGGTTTTTTCTTATTTTCCTGCCATTTGTATGGATTGGTTAAGTGTTAATGTTCTCTGAGCTAAGAACATTAGCCGGGCTAGTTATTCAAAACACGATACCTGTGATAAATATTTGGAGGAAGTTATTAAATAAACAGGCCCATTAGCTCAGTTGGTTAGAGCGTGGTGCTAATAACGCCAAGGTCGCAGGTTCGAGACCTGCATGGGCCAAACTGTTGATTTATATTTTTTGGTTCTTCTCCTTATTTCAGTTGCTTCTGTTCCTTGTATATATTTTGGTAGACCTCAACAAACCTTTGGGAAAGTAGCAAGCAAGTCAAAAGGGAAGCAGAAACTCGTGATCCATTGGCCTGCACAATAATCAATCTTCCTTTTATCTTCTAATCTAATAATCACCCTTCCCAATCACTAAACAAAAAGATAATCCACAAACAAGCACAACACATAACGTTCCAGTTCTTGTCCCCTCCCCCCTGCACTGTTGCAACCTTACGTTTTCCCCCCCACAAGAATCCAACTCCCCCTTCATACACAAAAAATAGAACACATACGCATCGATTTGTTGTGTAACGCCAAAACCAGTAAGTAACCTTTTTGCACAGTCTTCGCCACCAAAATCAATTAATGATGATCGTTTCTGGCACAACGTAGCTTGGCGAGTGAATTGAAGCAGAGAAGATCACATACCCCAACCCACTGCAGAACAGCGTCGTCAGCGCCCATCCTCCCACCAACTTCCCCACAAGTCTCCAGTTCACATTCTGCACATTGCAGCAAATTAATTAGGACCAAAAAGAACAGCAAATCAGTCACGGGGGCGTCAATTGATGACAGAGATGAAAAATATGAGGGACTACTGAGTACTAATTACCCGGCGATTGTCGGCGATCCCTACTCCCACCGACGACCCCACGAATGCGTGCACGCAGGACGCCGGCAAACTGAGCCTCGTCACGATGAGCACCGCCGCCGCCGCCGACAGCTGCGTCGTCATCCCTCTGGCGTTGCTCATGTAGGTCACTTTCAGCCCCAGCACTTGCGTCAGCCGCCACCCGCAGAAGAAGAACCCCATCGACGCCACCAACCCTCCCATCACTCTGCACCACCACGTCATGTTATTCGCCATCCCCACCTGCCATTTTTTTCCATTATTACGACGTCAACACAGATTTAAAATTACCTTCCTAATTTATCACGGGTCGAGGCAGGTCGACCCAATGGGTATGTAATTTATATAAAAAAAAAATATTAGAAATATTCGTTATTTTTATTATAAGACCAAGAAAACAAACAATATTATGATAAATGTAGTTAAATTATTGGAGAATTTGAAATTTTCACTAATTTGACTAAGATTACTTATAATTTAGACAAGAACCGGTCGAGAAATGGGACAGATTAGGGCAGGTCGGGTCGATGCGAGTACCAATACCGGTCGAAAACAGGCCAAACAAGTCGGGTAAAACAAATCAGGTCGAAATTGTCATCCCTAAACACAAGTAATTACCGTATCATTAGGGGCAATATTGCCGGAGTATTTGTCTCTGTGATGGAACACGTCAATGATGGCCCCGTATGGACCGGCGAGCGCCCCGATCTCCGTCGACGATTGGATCAGCCTGATTGATTGATTGATTGCATCAAAACCAAAAATCAATTTCTCATTATAGTAGAGCTTAATTAATCATGAATCCGACATTGTTAAATCATTAATCATGTTGCATGCAGGTGGATCGAGAGAAAAACACACACACAAAAGGTAACATGCCTTGCAGACATGGTACTAGCTACTAGCTAGTGAACACCTACGCGAAGATACATGAAGCAACAAGGTGGAGTAGCCAGAACAAGTCTTCCAGCTCGTCGTACTTCTCCGCCAATGCATGTCGAATCAGCGTCGGCCTGTCGTACTCCACTGCCTGCTAATCAATAAATCGAACACGATCATCACCACCATGATCCGGAATCCGGAGAAAATAAAGCAAATTAATTGATCAATATTCAGGAATGGCAATGGATCAGGTAGGAAATGAGGCAAACAGGTGGAGCAGGACAAAAGGAGGAAATCGAAACAAGTCCAAAAAAAAGTACTTAAGTCGAGCAGGTTAGATCAAAATTGTCATATTTATTACCACCATGCATATAACTTAAGTAATTAATTACCGGGCAGATGACGGATTTGGCGCTCTCCTTAATCAGCCTCCACCCACTGTTATTCAACGCCGTCTCTTTTATGATTTGAAAACTCGTCTTGCGTTCGAACTGCTCGGACTTGCATTCCAACAATTGTTTGAAGGAAGTGATGAGCTGAGTGGACTGCTGGGAGACTGCGGATTGCTGGCTTGGGTTGTCGTTGTCTTGTTGGGTCGAATCGACGGAGAAAGCAATGCTTCGTTCTTCCTCCTCGTACACAGTCTCAAGAGTCCTCATCTGCATGAAGTCCTTTAACATGTCTTCCACATCCACTTCTTGCTTCTCGTCGTCCTCTTTCGCTTCACCTGCTTCTCTTGATGTCGGTAGGTTGTGGATTTCAATTTTATGAAGTTCATTGAGATTCAACGTCGTGTCTTTTACGTCGAATTCACCACGAGTGTCCTTGATTATCTGCAACCTTCTTCTAGCCAAAGGTACCGCCAATACCTAGTTTTTCGTTGTAACAATATGATGTAGTAAGTACTAAGTACCACAATATCTTCATAGAGGAATGAGTGACTAGCAAGGGTTGTGAGGACTAAAAAAATGTATGATTGGCATGGTACACGTACACTCCAAGTTGTTTGTAGTTTTGAATAAACTAAGCCATGTATTATGTGTTTCATGTATTTGGTTTTAATTCTCTTGAAATGGTGTAGCACGTTATTGATTATTCAGAAATTATGTGTACGAAAATATTTTTACTCCCTCCCTCTCTTCGACTAACCCATTCTCTCTGATTTCTATTACGACCCATCATTTTATGTTTGATTAGACCCAATTGAAGGTGAAAATAATATTGATAAATGTAAAACAACATTGTTTGACTAAATATGAGTATGTCATGCTAATAATAAACTAACAAGTGTATAACTAATAACACAATCTAGTACGTTGCCATATGTATTTGTTGAAAACTGAAATCGTACTGAAAGTTAAAAACTAATGTGTCGATATGGCATAGGTTGATCTTTTCAAATCGGTATCAATTCAATGGAACTTACAAGTGACAATAGAACTCCTATGAGTGTGGCAAGGGCTACAACACCTATGGCGACCCATTTGTTGAGCAGAAGATGGTCTCTGAGTACCTGCAGTAAATTTTCACCCTAAAATTAACCATTACTTAGCAAATTTCAAGCTCTGTGTAACAAAACCAATGGCAAATACGCATACCTCAAAGACGGCGAATTGGCAGAGCAATCCTGCAGCAATTCCATACCCAATTGGGAGGAAAACCAAAATCCTCTCGTCTCCTTTCTCATGTCTAAGCACCAATTTCTTCAACAGGGTAAAGAGGCAGAAGGCACAAACGCAGGCGACGACAGGGGCGACGGTCCATTGCACAATCATCCACGCCATTCCCACAACATTGAACCTGTGGTATTCGTTCTGCATCAAGCTATCACGCCACAATAAGAGAGACAGGGGAACTAAACCGAAACCAACCCAGGAAAGAAAGAACGAAGACCAGAGAAAGAAGAGTATGATCGTGTTCCGTTTACCTTGTGCCATATAGGTATGTATCGAAAGCCCTGCACCCCGATAATGGTTCCGAACAGAGCATCCTGCATCGATTGCTGCGACGACACTGGCAGCTCGAAGTACGTCGCCATCGCCATCCATATTGCTGTTTTTTCAATCAGTTGTGAGGGTTTGATCAAGTTCCGGATGAGGTTCATGAATTGATATGCATATGCAAACAGACTCGTCTCCCTGTCTGCAGAGAAGCAAAAATTTCTTGTAAACTAAGTTACCTGCTGTGATGAGGACGACTGTCATGCTCCACATCAAGAAGGCCTCGTTTGGCTGATTGTCTTGCACAAATTGCTGTTTCCACATCGACAATAATTACATCATTAATGGGTGATCCATGATCCGTCATTTATAAGATTAATTGTGACGATCACTAGTTTTAACTGTTGACTGAAAGTGCTTGTAGTTTTGTTTTCTGTTTATGGCAAGTTCCGTACTTGGGAAAACAGAGAGTTAATTGGGTTGCTGCCAGACAAGGCGGCTCCAGGGAGATAGATAAAGAAAGCGGCGATGGTCGCCTTGAAAAGAGGCAGCGCTCCCGATCCCACCACCGTAGAAAGCTGCATGAAATTAGCCACGGGAAAAGAAAAAAAATCAGAGCTCTTTTACGCCGTTGAAAAAAACAGAGACCTCCCCTGTTTCGAAAGAGAAAAACAGGGGACAAGAAGGGTACAGACCGGAGCTGGGATGTTGTTGGCGCCGGTGGAGAAAGCGAGGGCGACGACGGCGAAAGCCCCCAGTATGGGAATCCATACGTAGGTCTCCTTCCAATTCCCGACCACCCTCGCCGCCAAATCAACCGTTACTTTCTCTCTCGAAGGCATCAATCAAGCATGACCGTAAATAAAGCGAAAAAACCAGATCTTCAAAATCGCGCCATGGAGGAAAATGGGCAACAAGGGAAAGGAAACTAAATCGAGAATTTTGTTCAAGCTCTCAACATCAAATAACTATTCGGCCATTTTCTATTCCTTTGATTATTACTTCCTTGTTCTGTGTGCGAACAAGGCAGGACAATGGGCAGCTGGAGGGGGTCATTGTTTTCGACGTTTAGTTGGCTGTTGCCACAAAACAAAATTCCCATTGTTAATTACCTTTTTCTTTGAGAAGATGATGGAGATGGATATCTAAATTCTGCCACCGTGGGGGGTTTTGGAGATTTATTGAATAATCCGAAGAAAGCTGTCCATTGAAGAGAAGGGTGTGAAGAATTAGGGAGAGACACATCGTCATGTAGTTTGTTGTGATGCTGTCTTGAAGAGGATCGGCGGAGGGGGTTGGAGCCTTAGCCTGAACTCCTCTGTTTTCTGAAACAAGCGCCTTTCTCCATTCCTCCTGCTTTACTTATCTGATTGTTTGTTTGCTACCATGGCGGCATCCTTTTATTCGAGTTTTTTTTTTTATACTACATAATGAATTGGCAAACAATGGATGTGATATGCTCAAGATCCTAATGAGTAATAACCTAAAAGAATGGTGAAGTAAAAAAAACAAGGCAAATGGAAGATCGAAATAAGAGATAAAAAGAGCACACTTTGCAAATAAAAACAACTTTGTATGTGGTGCTAAAGTCAAAATTCTATGGGACTCCTAGGATTGTAATATCACCTATTAAAGAGTCTAGCTTATATTCGTTAATTCGTTCTTAACATAATTACCAAAAGCGATGCTTTACCCAACTGTTTGTCACTTGACTAGTCCAATATATCGAATTATCAGTATCGAGTTTTAAAGCCCCGAGTATATATCAGTGGCATTCCAACCACATCTTTTAAGAGATGGCATGCAAAACCGATGTAGCAAAGTCTTCTTTCCTTTGTTTCCCTCTATCGTCGTTACTTCTCTTTCCCCTTTCTCTTCATCTCCATCACTGTAAATTCGCTCTTGTTGATGGTTGGTTGGTGTTAAGAATCAGTTGATCCCAATAACTCGAGTTGTTGGGAGAGGTTTCATAATGGATCTTATACCAGATACTAACATGTCTCATCTTGCACATATATGGATACCATGTGCTTGACAAATCGGGGTCGTGGGGAATGGAACACAAGACCTCTCAGTCACATAAGACTTTGATACCATATCAAAAACCAGTTGATCCCAATAACTCGACTTGTTGGACTAACTTCCATAATAAATCTTATAGCAGACACTAACAGTCGGATGTCGACAACTAGTGGTGTCGGATGCCGACAACCAGTGGTGACTAGGGGTGGGGCATTGGGTGGGTCGGGTGGATTTTGACCATAAAATGCACCCACCCGCGCTTAAACGGATTGATAATTTTTAACCCACCACCCACCCACATTTAGTCTCGGGTTGGGTCGGGCGGATGGTGGATGATGCGGGTGGGTTTGTGGGTTCACCCACATCACAATGTATATAATATAAAGGAGTCAACTTGACATGATAATAGGTGAAGAGAATCATCGAGGGAAATAAGAAGTTGAAATAGGGCGAAAAATGTTGAATTAGTTCTTAAATTGGATAGAAATTCTATTATGAAAGAGTTTTCTACAGATCGAGATGATTATTAGGTGCAAGGAACTAAGGAAAATAATTCCACGAAGGAAAGAGTGGTGATCTAGGCACAAGAATTAGAGGAAAAAGTAAAGGAAAGAAGAGGGGATCTCTATTTGGAAGGTTGGCTTGGAGGTTCAAACTCCATGAGCAGTACGAGTTTATATCTAACGTCTCCACTCTCCTCTCTCTAGCGGCAACGACTTTAATCTTTTTGCTGTTGGGTTGAGCGGGTCTAGGGATGGCAATGGGTCGGGTTGGGGCGGGTTTCGCCAAACCCGAACCCAAACCCACGGGTTTGTCCGTAAAAAAATCCGGGGTAAAACCCGCCGGGTTTGAAAAACCCAAACCCAACCCAACCCGCTGGGTATCCGCGGGTTGATGGGTACCCGTGGGTTTTTTTAGAGTCTGGACCTTGGAATCATCATCTGCATTTCACCATCTTCCCTTCCTCTGTTCTCTTTCACTTTCCCTTCAATCATCATCTGCATTTCACGACCACCCAATTTCTCTGTCAATTCTACTCGCTTTCTCTTTTCATTTCCTTCCTTTGATTTCACTTTCCAAGTTCACTAATTCGTGATCAAACGCAAGACCCAACCAAACGAATTGGCTGACCAAATCATCAACCCCCATCCAATTTCACACTAGCTGATCCCCAACTTCGTCGATATATTCCGTTCAAAATCTCCGCCAACTTGTACGGCGTCTCGAACTTCATCGGCCGCCATAGTTATCCGTTCCTTGAACCTCGACGAGGCCATCGCCAAAAACAAAGAAGCAAATTCACATGTTCGAGATCTCTTCTCTTGCTGGCGGGAGTGGACCGTCGACGTTGGCGGGTTGTGGAGACTACGGGTTGAGCAGAGGAGAAGGAGGAGGGCGGCGGGACAGGAGGGCGGCAGGACTGGAGTCGGCGGGAGGCGGTGATGTGGAGGCGCAGAGCAGAGTAGCAGGGGAGGGCGGCGCGGGACTGGATTCGAAGAGGAGTCGTGGTCTCGCCGGAGAGGAAGAGGAGTCGCGGTCTCGCTCGCCGGAGAGGAAGAGGAGTCGCGCGGAGAGGAAGAGAGGAAGAGAGGAGTCGCGCGGAGAGGAAGCCGATTAGGGTTTGGGAATTGATTTGTGAAAGTGAAATGTCTCTGGGGTGGGATTGTGGGAAGGGAAGTGGGCTGGGGGCTGGGGCCTGGGAGTGGGGAGTGGGCCGTGGGGACTGGGGACGGGATATTTAGAGAATAGTGTGTATGTCCGGGTATCCACGGGTCGGGTTCCCCCAAACCCGAACCCGCCCCAACCCGCCCAACCAGCCACCGGGTTTAAACCCGAACCCGGTCAACGCGGATTTTACCCGGTTTGACCGGGTTGGGTCGGGTCGGGTACCCGCGGGTCCGGGTTGAACTGCCATCCCTAAGCGGGTCACCCGCACACTCACCCACAACCCACCCACCACCCGGCGGATGGCTCCCAGCGCAACCCGTAACCCACCCACAGACCCACCCACTTAACGAAATTCGGGTCAAATGCGGGTGGGTCGGCCCAAACCCGCGGATGATCCGCCCGCATGCCCAGCACTAGTGGTGACGGACGGCGGCAGTGACAAAGAGAGTGTTCTTTTTAGTGTTATTTTTTGTATGTGTATTTTTTAAAAATCCTCCAATAATATATAGTACACTTTTGTGTACTTTTCTCCATTTTAAATTTTCTGCAACGAGAGTGAAAGTAGGAAGGACATTTTTGTCTTTACAATTAATTATTTATCTCACATAAAAAAGTATCAACATCAGGATTTGATCCCGGGTCTCTTCAAACAAAAACAACAATCACAACCATTTACACTGAACAAATTTGTTGTGTCTTTTTTAATACAAAATATACATGAAGTTCAACTCTCTTAAAATCGTAGGATTTTCCATCATGATTAGCAAGCCCACTAAGTATACCGTATGTATTTTTATTGTGCTTGATACTTCAATTTTCATAGTAGAGTTTCATGTAATTTTCTCAATTTTAAAATTCTTTCTCTCTCCTTAATTTTTGCTAAAGGTAAATTGGTAATTGGCTAACATGAAAAAAAACTAATTTTGTCACAACGGTCTACGTGTTGTGTCCTTGCATTTTTCAATTTAAATTTTATGGTTTTTATCTTTGTTCTTATATCTTTCCAACTTCCTCGGAAATTCTCTCCATCGTACAATAGTTTGCGCCCCTTTCACTTCCCAATACAAGGCCGCCTTTGAAAATCAATCATCTGATATCTCTTGTCACGTCGGTTTTATTGTTGGGGATTTAAGTTGGGCAAGTAAAAGAGTTTAATAAATAATGGAGTTGTACAAGGAGGATTAGAAATTGAATTTTTGGTTGAAACATATGTCTCTGGAGATAAAAATTTGGTTGTACAACGAAGAGTGGTGGCTATTGGATCTTTATGTTTATGGTTTTTACATCTATCACAACCTATTTCTATCTTACAACGAGGAATCATTGATTGATTTATTGAAGTATGTCAATTTTTTATTCAACCTACTGGAACTGATAGACAAGGAGTGTCTAATTTTGTGCTTTATTACTTTGATTGAGTCTATTAGTGTGTTGGAGATAACCCTGATTTTGTCGTTTGCTCTCAAGTTTTGATGATCCCCTCTTAGCTGAGTTGTTAGCATGTAGTTTACTTGAATCAACAACCCTATATTTCTTTTTGATTAGTGGCATATTGCTCATTAAAGGAACGCATTAAACCCTTATGTAGGATTGTGAGGTTTAAGATTTAGTTTCAAACTATCTATGGGTCGAGTGGAATTTCACTGAGTTTTTATACCCTCTTTCCTGACAATCAACTAACCAATAGCATTTTAACGAGGACTTAATTATCATTATGAAAATGGAATGAATGATACATTTTATATTTTATATTCTTAAATGATGATGGTATTTCTCCGAATGTTAGACCTATTATTTCTTCCTTTATGTATAATCTCGATCGAAGGATTGTCAATAAAATTAAACCGGTTGATTGGCTTAAACGTAACATAAAAATATAACTAATCAAATATGAGCATTCCGGCCAATGGGTCGGGTTATAAGCTAGTAAAATAATAATAATAAGGATACAAAGATAATCTTACATTAGAGCATATAAATGAAATTAGTATGATATTTAGCAATCTCAATAGAAAAGATGGGGAACGGATCAGGTCAGTAACCTTATGGTGAGTAACTATGAGTAACCCGCCCATATCAGCATGACATCAGCATCCTCTCTCTCCTGGAAAGCCTTTAATTTTCCCCTCCTTAATCTTTGACGGACGATTTC